GTACAAATCCAAGCACCAGAAGCAGCCCACACTCTCTAAGTTTTCTTTAATTGAAAAATATGCATTTTCATTCATTCAAAGCAAAGGCTATAGTTGCAATATTTTAGATCAAAACTTTAAGTGCCATTGTTTAAAAAAAAAAATGCTTGATTGACTGACGTTTGTACCATATGGTATAGACCATTTGTAATTTCACAGTATTTTCATTGCCTCAATTACACGTGTGAAGTACATTATGGTACAGTACAAATATTTGGAACGTCCCTTATTTTCTTAAAGAATAAACATTTATTTTCTACAAGAATAAACACAGTTTTCTTAAAATCACGATTGTCCCTTATTTTCCATTTCTTATGTTAATTGGCAACGATGACAAAAAATAATAGATAAAAAAATGTGTAATAGAAAGCGCAAAGGAGCACTGAAAAGGCCAGTAAAAAAAAAAAAAAAAGAAAGAAAAGTGGGCCGGTCTAAGCAACCTGCGTGTGCGTCAAGTCTGAGGAGGACGGGCCGGGTGAAAAAAAACCCTCTCCAATATTTTGAATTTGGACTGCAATACCTGGTTCAATCACTCAGTGTCAATCCTACATACAACACTTTTAAATGAATTGTATCTTGACAAGACGAATAAAAATAAGAAATAACATTTTTGTATAACATTTTTATTTTCTCTGACACTTGTTTCCTACTCTGTTGCATAAAATATTCAACGAATTTAAATTTAATAAAATAACACAATTTTGTGTAGACTGCACTTTTATTTGTCAGCCTATCTCTCTTTCTTTCAGTAGCGGAAATTTAAACATGAGATTCAGGAAACCAGATCTAAATTTTATGGAGCTAATATTATGACAAAACAATTTGAATTTGAATTGTGTTAAATTTGAATTATTGACAAGTGTTATTTATCAAAACTGAATATTATGTGGGATTTAAAATCGTTTTGAATTTTATTTTGATTTTAAATTTGATTTTTTTTTACTTGAATATTTAACATTTGAAATTTAACACAAATGATTTTTTTAAGGCAGAGTTTTATAGACATGTATTTTCAAACAGCAGATTTTTTTGTTCTGAATTCTTAGACTGCAAATATCCAGTTTTTAAAAAATACAGCTTCAAGTTTTCAAGATGAAGAAGAAATTCGGAACATCAGATTCAGGAACATTGACACCAACACTTTCATCAGGAGGCAATCCACTGCTTTCCCAATCAATATCAGCAATGTTCAGTTCCTAGGTAAACAAAGAACAACATTTCTGTATAAATGGTATACAATCTCAGTTCCTGTAATAGTTCCAAATACTACATTTATACGAGTACTACAATGCTAATTAAGTGTTTAAATGTCAGTGAAGGAACATTTTAATTCTCACAACCCCTGTAATATTTCTAAAAAAAAATGTAAACATGGCTGTAAATTTGCATGAACAATAATACCTCTTCATCTTGGGGATCATCAACTGGATAATGAATTTGACCCAATTCCCAGAGCTGGTTTGGAGACATGTTGTGTTCTGTTCTCAAAGGGTGATTATCCCACCCATCTCGGAAAAGATTTAGATCATCTTGTAGCCTTGGTAGGAATGTGTAGTGGCAACAGAAGAGATGTGTTTGGTCTGCAGTATGAAGGTAGTTGGCTTCCTCAAGATAGTGTAGTACATCATAGTACACACTGGTCACGGCAGTCCACACATCTCTCCACAGTCGTTCTATTCTACAACATAAAGCATCACAAGATAATTCCTAAGCAATTAGTTGGTTCAAACAAGCATTTGGAGAATAAAGCATAAGGTTACATAGAAGATATGTCTGCTACACAATACTTTCTTTACATACCTTTGATTGTGGACACTTTTTCCTGAAATGAAACTGCTTCTCCCTGTGCCACGAACTGTGAACATTAAACGTGCAATGTCCATGTTCTCGACTCCATGGTCTCTGACCCTGTAATGACCATAAAGTTGGTCAAGACAATGTTTTAATACTTAACATAATGCTCATTTATAAAGCATAATATAATGTTCCTGGTGAAGAACATTAATAAAAATTAAGTGGAGGCTACAAAAAAATAATTTTTATAAAATTCTCATATTGTGAAATATTACAATTTAAAATAATGTTTTTTAATATACTTTAAAATATAATTTATTTCTGTGATCAAAGCTGAATTTTCTCCAGCCATTACTCCAGTCTTCAGTGTCACATGATCCTTCAGAAATCATTCTAATATGCTGATTTGATACTCTGTTATTATCAGTGTTGGAAATGGTTGTGCTGCTTAATATTTTCTTGGAATCTGATCATTTTTTTCTGGATTCATTAAGGAACTAAAAAGATTTGGAATGACATGAGGGCGAGTAAATTATGACAATTTTCATTTTTGGCTGAAGTATCCCTTTAAAGGAACACAATCCCTTTGGGAACACAAATTATGATAATTTTTGGATGTAATCCGAGAGCTCTCTGACCTTCCATAGACAGCAAGGGTACTACTACGGCGAAGGCACAGAAATGTAGTAAGGACATTGTTAAAATGGTCCATGGACTATTTTAACGATGTCCTTACTATGTTTTTGTGCCTTGACTGTGGTAGGACCCTTGCTGTCTATGAAGGGTCAGAGAGCTTTCAGATTTCATCAACAATATTTTAATTTGTGTTCCGAAGATGAGCAAAGGTCTTACATGTTTGAAACGACATGAGTGTGAGTAAATAATGA